AAAATGAGACAACACAAAAGATCTACAAAAGATCTGCATATGACACAATCATTCATTGGCTATGCGCTACTTTTTCAGCTTTGGGTAGTTGCAAAAGATCTTGGCAACGGCTGCCTATTGGTCGACCAATTGCCAAGCCAAATCCCGTGCCCAAATGCAGAAACAACACGTCTTCACCTCTTCCATCAATGTCACATTGCAAGCACAATATGGGACACTACCACCTCATATACACTGCATGCACTCTCCGCTCCAATCTGCAGCCATGCTCACAATTGGAGTGCCTTCACGTCTATAGAGCCTTCGGGCACAACCCACACTCCGTCTCATACATACTTGATCAATTCTTCTTTTTCTCCGCACTCTAGATCTACAGATAGACTCACTAACCCCCTGGGCAAACCCCAATAACTTTTTTTTTCATTATCTCCCTCTCCAAATCTTCCCCCTCCCCCTAGTACAACTTTACACCAAATATAGGGCTTTACTTCCTTTGCATGTAATGTAGAACAGCTCAAACTGGACTTTAGCGAGCACCTTGTTGTGAATAAAAAGTCCAGTAGTTGCAAAAGATCAGCAGAAAAAAAAGCTCCATATGTAATTTTATAAGGGGCTTGCCCTAAGTTTGTAAAACTACTGATATAAGACCCCCCAAATTAGGAAATTTATGAATGTGAATCATACAACAATGGGGGTCCAATTTCGGCAAAACCCCAATTAAGTACGTGACTGTAAACGATGGTGTAAAGCATTATTTTAACTAACAATTTTGTGTGCTAATACGCAAGGAAGCAATTACTTATAATAGTTCACGCTAATCAGAATAGTTCACGTTAATCAGAAGGTATGACTTCACCAATAAATAAAAAACTCCTTGGTTAAACATTGTAAGTAAAAGTCTCGGTCAATTTTATTTTTCAATTATCTGAACGACAAAGATTATCGAAATAGATTGCACAACTGGATTTGTGTTTGTCTTACGCAACTTTGTTAACTATCGACTTCTATAATACGGATTACATACACTTTCGGTCTATGGATGTTTCCTGGTTGGTCAATTCATGCAGATAAAAATAGCATTGTCAGGTTTTATTTATTTATTTACTTTCCCCTATGGTCACAAAGCAGAATACGTAAAAACCCCAGTTGGTTTTTTCTTCTTCTTCATTTTGTTTGAATACAACATCTTTAGGACTTATTTAACTGAGAAGGAAACTACCCAACGACTACTTCTTTTGCTTTATTTACCTCCCACCTCCGCAAATTATAATATTGTCATATCAATATGCGAAGACTCGGTAGAAATCGCAAAACTGAGCCAACACTAATTTTTAAATGCCGTGTTTTTATGATGATAATTATTCTTGGTCTGTTTCTTGGATACGCAATTATTCTTACATTAGAGGTTGTAAGTGATAAGAATAACCCTGTTATAAACACAAAATACAAAGATGAAGCCAGTCTGCCATTTCCATGGATTGTTATTTTTTCTATGTACAAACTATCCATAGATTGTAATCTCCTGTACTATGGTAAGTCCATAATTTTAATAATCGACTATGTATCATATGGGAGGTAATCATTTTATCGACAATCATTTCACTGACAATCATTTCACCAACAATCATTTCACCGACAAATATTCACCAACATTATTTCGAAGCTATCCTTTTTTGGTAGTTGATTGTCGGTGAAATGATTGTCGATGAAATAATATGGACCCGTATCATATAATGCTATTTTTTGTTATTTACAGGTGCAATTAATCTGGAGTGTTAACTAATTATTTACTTATTTTTACTTTTTATTAAACATATTACTAAGATGGCAATGTGTCAACGACCGATGAGTGCAACATGCAATTTCGTACAACGTGGTCGCCGACACAAGACAATTTGTGGATATTTGAAGCTGACCCTCTAGATCTTCAGATACCCCTACATCCGAACGGGGGTCCAGTAGCGGTACAATTTAATATGAATATAACTGATCCGCGTCAAATTTATGTGCAAATTTTATTAGTAAGCAAAGGTAATTACTACAAACTCTATAATATGCGTAAGACGTCTGCATAGCATCGGTCTTATTATCTTGTCCAGTTATCCGTTAATTGCTAGTAAGCCTAAAGTACTAAAAAGTTGGGTTTTTTACCAAATAAGAAACCATGCAACACCAGAACGAATCGATAAATGAAATTGACCCAAAAATTTTGGATTCTATGAAGCAGTCATCGTACTTCTTGTATTATCACCAAGGTTATGCCATGTTTTACACTCAAAGTGTGAGGGAGGTAATTGAACCCAGAATACTCGACCATTTTGGTTTTCCACCGAGAATTAATTCTATATACACTTTAACTACGGAACTCGGTGAGTAACGCATAAATTTAAACGTACATTTTTCTACATTATCTAATGTATTTAATAATTATAGAACCTGTGTTTCAACGTAATGTTAGTTCATATGAATTTTCAGCTGTACTTATAATGCCTAGAAGTTTTTCAGTCAGAATCGATGCAGAGAAAAGGTGAGCGATTGATAAAAACCAGTTCACCTAATTATTATTATTACGCTAAGCATCATTGTTATTGTATTATATATATGTTGTTTACAAACCCGCAGGACCCGCACGGTAATATTTGATTCGGTAAATTTAAACAATCATGTGGTTATAAAAATGTTATTTAACTTTATTCGCGTTTATTTAACACCAAATAGTTCCTTACCGTACTTGGTTTGCTTGGTGGTGCATGGAGCGGAGCCGTAGGATTTTACGTCATTTTATTTGGTAATGTGTTGATATGAAACTCATTATTCTCAATTATTATTTTTATCTATTTTAATCGGTCTCTTTCTTTTTATATTCTTCAGGTAGTAAAACCCTAAGGCCGTGGGGTTGCGTCCAATTATACTGTTGTTGTTTCGCTCGAAAAACGCGCGAGCAACTTCTTGAATCATTCTCTCCAATATCATTTCAATCTTCGGTATTACCAGTAAATTTATCGTTGCCAGACTCATCAACTCGGGAACTCGCATTAGAGAAACGCCTGGACGCACTGGATTTATTACTTAAGGAATATGTAATCGACCAAACCTACTTGGAAGACTTAAACGATAACAAATCCTCGAACAAAACTTAGTGAGTTGTTAGAAAACTGGAGAAACAAAAATAACACTACTGGTATAGTCAACGCTACTCCACCACAGACTTTTAACGATAACCCAGATAGATATTAAAGACCGTTCCAACCACCAGTTATCTATACCTCACTTACATAATAATAATACTTTTTTATAAGTATTTATTTATAGCTTAGTTAACATTTCGAATATTATAACTTTGATTAAGACACCATACGAGGAATTGGATTATTAATAGCATGTATAAATAAATAGCTGGATTTAAGGTGTCTTGTTTACTAAAAAGGAGATATGTCAAGGACAAGTAATAGTGTTGGGGACGCGTCTCAGTTCTGGACTGAGTGTCTGGGTTCCGAACTGAGACAGGTCCCAAACTCAGACCAACAATAGCAAGATATGGTTGGCGGTCAGACTGTCGACAAAAACTGTTCTGTGAATGACGTGTTGGCCTCAACCGTCTAAACATTAGAAAAGCTTAAATTGCAATAGCCGTGTAATTATTGTGTTTAAAGCAAAGGCTATCCCTTTTTATTTTTATTTTTTTATACAACTCAATCAATTCATATTCATCTTTTTCCATTGCATAATATACAGCAAGGTTGAATTACATTTAAATTGTGAACTAACATGTTCTTGTTCGGCTGTTTCTTCATATACAACTACCTCTAGTTTATTATTTCTAGTCCAATTCCATCTTAGAGGTTCTATTGTGCAATAAAATTTCTTATTCAGTGGCTTTTTGATATAATAATAACTCAGCTGCTTTCTGTTTGTACAGTAATGTTATATTGAATACATTAGAAGTTATTATTTAGAATTAAAAAAATGTTTAGGCATATCATTGTTCAGCTATTTAAATTAACGCAACTTTATTAATGTTTTTACGGCAAGACGAGCAAATAAACGTACCTTTTTTCTTTTGGATATGAGCAATAATGGAGCATGTAGTATAGTTCTAAGTATTTATAAGCCTATTGAGTGTTAGTTCCACCGTAAATTACTAATTTAGAGTATTGTATGATGCAATTTATCTAAAATTAACATATTAATATTCTTATTTTTGCGATTGGTTAGTTACATGAAATCTATATCCAGCGAACAGTTACGTATTACCTAGCTAAGCTACTTCCGTTCATTTAAGAACGCAGATCGAAGGTGAGATTATTAATTAATTGGGTTAGTTAGAAGATCGATTGAATTGGTCCACTATTCACACTATTCACGGAGGTTAATACCCACGTTTGGAATTATTATCGGAGATGGTGATATTAATACTAACTTCATATTTCATTGTGTTATTGTAGTAAAAATTGACGTAAAGCGTGGGGTTACCCATGACTCTTACTGAGTCGTCCCTATAGGCCTGCTTTGCAATAAAAAGTTCTGGCAATTTCTGGTTTTTTACCCTCCAAGTCTATAAATAAATTCTGATCTGTGATTTTTTATATAAAAAGGCGGAGAAATAATATCCGTGACCCCTTTACTCCTTCGTTATAATAATTAGCGATTCGGAGGGATAAAACATTTAACAAACTTTAATAAATTTTACCCACGATAAATAAAAAGATTTATACACTCGAAATAATATCTAATTTCTAACGATTAAGGTTTGTTTATTTGTTTATATGCTATGACACCTCCCCCACATTCGTGTATATATGCTAATAGACCAATTTCCGCTTATAGATGACATCGTTCACTGTTTCGGGTATCTCCTTTTTTGGACTTCGACGGCGTCTTGATGTTCGTTGAGAAGATCTCTATGTACTTCCTCATCGGCGCCACGTTGTATTTATCACGTATCACCAAGTAAGACTACAAGCATACTTCGGAACTTTCGGCGTGTGATACCACATTGAATGAAAATCTTGCCACCGAGCTTGATAATCGTGACGCCAGAATCGCAACCGAACTTACAGCAAGACTCGATGAAATCGAACGAGTCCTTCAAACCCATCACAACAATTCCGACAAATCCGATCAACAGAGCGTGGCGAGTCAAGCTTCCTCTGCAAGCTCAGGTCAATTGTCGTTCACGAGTTATATTAGTACTTTAGATCAAATTGGTTTATGGATCGATAGTAAAACAGTTACACGTGATAGTGAGTAGCGGGAAAGGAACTGCCAATATATGGGTTAGGGCTCGGCAGGCTTATCAAGCAGGCATGATCTTTTATGCCTTTCCTCCCTTGAAACATCCTGCTACTCTGTTATTTTTACTTAGCCGGCCGACCCTTTCTCATAGTAATAGTAAAAATTTCTTGATCTCGGAATCGAGATACATTACGTGATTGGTGCATTTTTATTGATCCAATCAAAATTATTCACGTTAAGTACCCCGTATAGAAATTTTCGACAGACATTTTTAGATGGACGGAAGTAGGAATGAATATTATGAATATTTCGAACGAAAACCCTCAAAATGGGACATTATAGAATTTTTAGAGCAATGTGACCTTGAGCCGTACGAAAAAAAAGTGGATCGATACATTAGGTGCCTCAGATGTATTGCTCGTGGTGAGCAAAAAGAGAGAAAAGAAAAAGCAGAAGAGCTTCTCAGAAGATACAGTGAAGTAAGTAAAATTTTTTGTCAAATATGCAAGTGAAAAATAGTGGCGTGACAAGGACCCAAGATCCACTCGGTGCTTGATCATTCAAGGCCATTCGCATTTTTCGCGACCGCCGAGCCACAAAATCAGTGCTGGAACACAGGCAACCCATGTTGGTAACTCACTCGGTGGTCTGATGTTCAAGGCCATTTGCTTACCTAGCAACCGCTGATCCAGCACTGATCCTACTAGGGCACAGAATAACCCTTCAATCGGTTGTCTGATGTTCAAAACCACTCGCTGATCTAGCGATCGTTGACCTTGTAGGATGGAAATCAGGTGGAAAACAGGATATGTTAGTAAAGAATGTTATTAATTTAAATCTTGTTTGCGAAAGGAAAATAAACCAGACAAACAACGCGTCAAGAATTGGGAAAAAACACGTAAATCAAGCAAAATAAGCGGTGGTTCTTCGATTTACATCCACAACCACAATTCGACATTATCAGGAAACTCTTTTGCCGTTGCTGGGAACACTTCAACTACTAAAGCTACTACTGAAGCTACTACTAAACGCAAGCGAGAGGGCTTTAGAGGGAAAAAGGTAGTATCTTATAGAAATGCTTTTTTTATCTAGAAGTTGAGAATTCGTGAAACTAATTTTAATTGTTTAGAACGATGAGGTGCAAGAACAAACAAAGCGAGTACGTTTTGAGGAAAAGTCGAAGAAATTATCATCAGAAAAAGGGTCGGTATCTAACTTAAATTTTGTCCGCAAAAAATCGCCTTTTATAGAAGGTAATCGAGTTAATTTTTTAGGGGGATACGTTGCCTGATGGAATACCTGAGGATGACGATTCCTCCAGATTAGATGACGATCATGATGATAATAGCGATGAAGAAGAAGACGCACCTGCCCCAGAAGAATCTCTCAATTCCGTCCCTAGTGGCCCAAAGAATTGGATTCTTCCCTCCGGAGCAAATGTTAATGATATTGTTGCCGGAAAATTATCTGCAAATGCGATAGCAATCAAAAAGAAGAGAATATCAGCCTCAGAAAAAGCAACATTACGTTATGGATCGTCGCGAATAATTGATTTATCCACAAATATGAGGGACTGGTTCTCCATTGATGATAGAAAATTCATGATGAAAGACTACAAAGCTGTATTGCAGGTTCCTTGCATGGCGAGTGAGGAAAACTCATTTGTGGCAACAGTTGAGGATGTATGTGCAATTTTTCAAATTTAGCTTGTTCTGTATGTGCATGCATATTGAATCATTATTTTTGAACAGATGATATGTGAAGAAAAAGTAAACGAGGCGTATAAATTTTGTATCGAGAAGCACCTTAGTTCCAAAGAGAATAGCTACATATACAAACTAAGTAAAATATATGGTGACTTGTGAGTAACTTGTTGGCTATTACTATGTACTTTTTTTCTATGCTTTATCCTTACTTTGTGATTTAAATTTTTTGTGTCCAGCATTTACAAATGCAAAGGTCATGTAGATATACTGGATTGCGGGCACACAGAAATCGATGTGATTCTGAAAACCTGTTCGTATATCATTGAAACGTTGAATAATGGTCTTGCAATACGTCAAAGATGGTTTGTATGAATGATATTTGTTTTTAATAATGCTTTTACGAGTTATTTACATCATATTTGATACGTTAAAGGGGTGAGTCCTTTTGTCCACTAACTAGAAGTACAGAATACAGCAAGGGTTGCAAATGTGACGTACGCTTCTTGTCAGCATCAGGAGTAGATATAGCAGAATGGGAATTTGCAAAAATCTTAACAACAAAGTCGAATTAATCAGTCAATATTAAACGGTTTGTTAAATCGCAACCTGAATGATGAACAGGCGAAAAAAATTAATGTCCCTTTTTTGCAAGTTGCCGGCACAAGTGGTCAAATGTTGGTTGAAGATTTAGTTGAGGGTTTTTACGTTGTCTTTCCCGGGCCGACATTTGAATTTCCCACAAGACTTCAACATATCGAAAATCTAAAATCAGCTGTTAATATTATCAAGTTTGTTATGGTGAGCTGATGATATTTATTTGTTCATTAAGAATGCTTACATGTCTAACTTTTTGACATTTTGCATAGGATAAGTACATCCAAACAAACAAGATAGTGGAAAATAAAGTAAGTACGCATAATGCGTTTGAGCATATTTTCGGCAACAATAACAATCTTGATATGGATTGTAAATCGGAATTTATTCATGAACCCGAAAAGCAAGAAATCATAATACAAAAGTCAATATTTAGTTTGGATTCGGAAAATCTTAAAAATATTAATACAATACGTACGTAATTATGTAATTGTGTATTGGGTTTAAATGGCTATTCCTAATAAAAATTCGGGTTTCTTTACTATGCGATTTGGTGTCGTAGAATGCATCGGAAAATATACTTGAGAAATTTTTCTTGGCATTGAGAATGTGCACGTGGTTTCCAGAAAAAATAAAATATATGCTATTATAAATCATAGTCCCAAAACTTTATCAAAATCCCTAGTATCCAGTATCTTATAACAATCAGATCATTTCTTAGTTTATCAGTTCATCTATGTTATATCAATGCATCGGCATCAGTCCTATTCTCCTTTGTTTAAACTCTACTAATTCCAACTTTCATAGTAACTTATCTGCATATAATGGCATGCTGTAAGTCCGAATAATTCATCCTCCATTCTCAAGAACAAACATTGGCTTTATGAATAAATAGGCTGTATATAACGTTTCAAATCTATTATTCATTTTATGTATCATGTAGACTGCTATTATTCACATCGCAAAGTATTTTACATTGATCGAAATGGATCGAATACTAAATAACATGTACTGTATATATTGCTTTGCTTCATGAAAGCAAAATCATGACACAATCGTTCCCTGGGGGAATGGTAAAATTTATACTCAAAATTTATACTAGTATGACTGTTATCTGCTCACGAATTATGTGAATGGGCAGGGCTTTTGTCAAGAAAAATAATTTTTGTATCAGTTATGACATCTTATATACCCCGAAATTTGTACTATTACTATGGGTGGGAAAATTGTGAAGCTGGCTGGAATGTGATGTATCCCTAGCATTACCAGTTGCATATTACAGATAATGGATAATGTTGCCTATGATCACGAGGAAGAAAACAATCGTCGGGTTAAGAACGAGCTTAGGTATTATCCCAGCACCTGCTCGAATACAATAAGAAAACTTTTGCCCTTTTTAGTTTAGCATATTAGAAAGACATTCTCCATTTTTTTCATGCGCAATATTCTTATCAATATCAAATGTACAAGGATTACAATGTGAACATTTCATATACCAATTTTATTATGTATAACATTATTATAAGTTGCTGACCATTCATGACCTCTGGAGCATTTCCATTGTAATAATTCTTTGGAGATGTACATTGGATAGAGAGACATAATCCACCTCTATCTACAGCAATTTTTTAGTGATTTCAAGATGAAAAGAATGCCGACCCGCACAAACAGGACACCAAGTATTTTTATATTTTATTATATTAAGCGGAGCATTCCATTCATGATCTTTAGAACATTTCTATCTCAACGATATGGAAGTATTGATATATGTATCTGAAGGCATAAGCCATTATGAGCTTGGGCATTATTATGAGCATCATTTAAGGTTATTTTTAAATGCATTGAGAATTAGCAGTTTTATTTAGATAAGTTTTTATTCAAATTCTGCACAAAAATGAATCCATGTATCTAGAGTATAAAGTTATTAAATCAAATACGTCTAAATTCCTAAATACGATACAAATTATATATAATCATTAAATATGTCCAGAGCAGAATATAATATAAATAGAAGACTTGAAAGAACTGGTGGACATAATGTTCTTAAGTGGAAATAACATAATTATGTTATTACCACTTAGTTTAGGTTATGTATGACGGGTTAATCACAGAACTCAAGTCATTCGAGTGATGGGTCAATCACACGAAGGTAGTTGTAGAATAGTTATGGCATCGCCTCCGAAAAATCTGGAAGAAGAAATTATCAGAGAGATAGCAAAACGAATCTTGCAAAATAGATATGAGTTTAGTGAGGATCAAGTAAATGCCTTATTCTCAATCCAGAAAAACGGAAGTAGCCACAGTATAACTACCCCAGATAAAAACGTAAATATTGCGATTTCCAACAAACCCTCGAAAGGAATAGAGGAAGAAACTATTGGAGATATGGCG